TCAAAGAAGTTTGTTAATTTTTCTTAAGCCATTTGGTGGTTTAAATCTTTTTGCAATGTTGTTAAATAGTTTGCATCGACGAGACATACACCACGTCTCCGTACGTCTACTCCAATAGTGATTTGTTTCTTAATTTTCACAATGTGCGGGGCATATAATCTTTTTAACTATTGCTCCGGTTTGTAATAGATGCTCGCTTATTGATGATGCTCTTACAGAAAAGCAGCAGTTTTATTGGCTTAAACCGAACTCGGACCGATTTCTAGTATCGTGTATGTACACAAGGCTTTGGGCGGGGTCTACAATGCGAATCGTGGGTCGTAAGTCGTAGAAAATTGACCAATCACAATCGAATTTAACCCTAGAATCCATGACTCATTTTTTTGACCTTCTAATCCATGACTGGGGGCAATATCGACCCCACGCTTTATTTGATCGTAAAACCGGTCCTACAGAAATAAAGGGCCTTTAAACCTACATGAATTTCTTCGTTTTTTAATAACGAAGAGAATGGTATACGGTAAATTTAATTTTACTCAAGTTTAGTTAGTGAAAAATCCATTTAAAGACTGAAAAACGCAGAAAATCAGCAAAAACCTCTTTTTTTAAACAAAAATTTGTATCTTTTTTTGTAATCAACCGATTTTAAAAATTCAAACGGGGTTTTAAAGAGGACACATTAGACTATTAGAAAAAAATTGTCATCGCTATGTTCTGTTCAAAAAGTATATTTATTTGGGACTATAAAGATGAAGAAATTCGCAAAGTTGAAATACGGAAAAAGTCGATGAAAAAACCATAAAAGTATCTATTTTATTTTAAGTATTATTTCATTTTTATTTGATACAAAATAGTAAAAAATATGAAAAAAATGAAACATTATATCGCCCAGCCATTTTCTGCGAAATGTCAATCTTCTATAGGCAACGGGATTTTTACCGACTAAATTGTGTGATATTTCGTCTTAAATAATATTTATGACTATTTATGCTCAGATTACGTAATAATACATGATATATATTGATTCTAGCAAAAAAATAAAATTAGCTTACCGTGACGAAACTCAAACGGCAAGTCACGACTGGGGTCGATATCGACCCCACGCCCGCTTTGCGACTGTGCTACTTCACTGCTAGCGAACAACTAACGCTGCGCCCGACATAACCCTACTTTTAGAAAGTTGAAATGAATTATGGTTCAGGTCCTGAGTCGATAATGTCACTCGCTAGCTCAGGAGCGTAGTTCAAAGTTCGGCAGGGGTCGAAATCGACCCCAGTCATGGATTCTAGGGTTAAGGAGAATAATCGACTATGATTGGTCAATTCTTTTACGACTCACTACTTTACGACTCGCGTTGTAGACCTAGCATTACGCATATCCGTCGATCGTCAGAATTCTTCCTAGAAATGACATACGAGGAGGTAAAAAAAAAATTATATATTACCCTCTCACAGTCAATCCCTGCTTTACCATTGTACCTACGATAATAAGACGTTCGGATGTCGGTATTGGAGGTAATGTAAGAATTGACTCAATTGACTGTGAGGGGATAGTATACCTGCTACAACCTCCTCGCATGTCATACTTTTCTAGTAACAGGAGCGTTATTTCGAGCAGCGGAGATGCCAATTTTGACGTTTTTTCCCGCAGTTCGCCAGCGTTTTTCCCCCCTTACGCTACAGACGCTTTGTCTATTCGAGTCTATTATTGACAATGCAACCGTGCGACTGATTTGAACCTTACGCATTAATTGTTATTTGTTATAGAGATGATTAGTTTTACTTCTAATCAATCAATAAATCGTTAAAATTCTATGAAATTATCAGGTTATAATAAATAGTATATTTCAACTTTACATATACTATACATATCTTTTGCTGATTTTATTTATTTTTCATGATATTAAATTATTTATTTTAATTTTTAATTATTACTATTGTATTGTGCATAATACATTTTGTTATGCAATTGTATTTTGTGGACATAGCACGGAATAAAATCAATTAACTGATGTATAGACGGATACCATTCCATTCAAAATGCGAGCATCGTATCTTCTACTCCATTCTCGGGTCAGGCTTTTCTCTGTCTCTCTGACACTCTGTCCTCTGACAGAAGTCACATGACTCGACTCACATGCGCTGAAACACGTGTAGCGTGCATAACATAACCCATACTTTCGACGCTCGTAAAATTTATTCGACAGATAAAAGATCTGCGAATACATTCCTGTGCATTTATTGCAGTTTATTTTCAGTGTTGCGACGACACGATTATGGCAAAGGTTCCGCGGAAACGTGCTAAAATGGGAAAAAGCACGAGAGAGCAGTTGGAGATGCTCGATAAATCGGTTTGTAAACACGTAATTGTGTGACACTTGGCGTATTTATATCGTTACATACTTATTACATTTGCACGTTTGTGGCTTGCAGGAATTGATCGATAAGATATTGCGATTGGAGGCTCACAACGAGCAACTGAAATTATCGATCGCGAAAAGTACGGACACTGAACTGAAGAAAGAGAAGACGCCAAAGAAAGTAAGAAGATCGTTTGATTTTTCACGGTAAATATGTTGCTCTTGAACTTGTGTCACTTGTTTCTCTTTCATACTAGTGATGTCCTACAATTTCAATCGTAGGTGTCACAAGAGGCACATTCTGCTAAAGTTTTATTACCTCGGTTGGGATTATCACGGTTTCACCGTACAAGACGATAACAGCGATACTATTGAGCATCATCTATTCGCAGCTTTGTTAAAAAGCTGCTGCATCGAATCCCGCGAAAGCGCAAATTACCATCGTTGTGGACGAACCGATAAAGGTGTTAGCTCGTTCTCTCAAGTTGTATCGTTGGATGTGCGGAGTAGACTGGAACTAGAGAATCAAGACAACTTGCCGGATGAGTTGCCTTATTGTAAAATGTTGAACAGATTGCTGCCAGCGAATATAAGGTGTACAGCATGGTGTCCTGTCGCATTCAATTTCTCCGCAAGATTCGACTGCAAGTATAGAAAATACAAGTACTTCTTCCCAAGAGGCAATTTAGATATAGATGCCATGAACAAAGCTGCCAAGTATGTTATAGGAGATCATGACTTTCGTAATATTTGTAAAATGGACGTAGCCAATGGCGTAGTTAATTTTAAAAGAACTGTAATTGATGCAAGAGTAATCGTCGTTAGTGATGACAACGTGGAAAAATCTACAGGTAATGTTCAATTTCTTCAGTTGCTTATTATCTTCTAACGATATACAATGTATAGTGAATTCTTACTTTATTTTGAAGGCTACGATATGTGTGAATTAGAAATTACGAGCCAAGCCTTTCTGTGGCATCAAATTCGTTGTTTAATGGGCATCTTGTTGTTGGTTGGACAAAGGAAAGAGGAGCCTGAAATAATCTTGAAGCTCCTGGACATTGAGACTTGCCCGCAGAAGCCGCAGTACACTATGGCTCATCAAGTTCCATTGAATCTCTGGTATTGTGATTATGAAAACGTAAAATGGTTTATCGACGAAGATGAATTATTACACACTATCAAAATATTACAACAGGATTGGGCTCTGAATACTATAAAGTATGTTTATTGAGAAAGAAATCCACATAATCGTACATGAGATCGATTTTGTAATCAAGTTCCTTTTTCATTATATGCAGATCTACAATGATTAAAAATATGTTGATGGAATTGGAAAATTTCGTCAACTGTGTAAGTACTAATTTTCAAAGTGATTGCCTGCTTCTCGGAGTACAATCAAAAATATATCAACCATTAATGAAACGAGAAATGTGTGGTAAGTGTATGATGATTAATTTTACCAAAGCTAGTGAATATAAATTTGTTGATAAAGTCGAGACTCAAGTTCAAACTTTTTCAATATACTATTCAAAAATGGTTTTTCTTTATTTTACTTTGGTTTACTTTATTACGTATCTATAGCATAGCCTACGTTTATTAATTTGGAAATAATGCATACAAATACACTGTTTTAAGTCTTAATATACTTTGTATTCGACTATAATACAGACATTCAAAATATTTTGATGATCATGTGTATGTAATTTCACGTTCTTCTCTTTTTAATACTATACTAAACACAATGTCGCCGCGTTTGGACGTGTTCTATACTTAAGATTACAAGTTCCTAAATGTACATTCTATCAACAGTATAGTAACTGAATAGATTAAGTTAAGCCTGTCCAAAATTTGATTCACGAGCAAAATGTTTCTTCTCGTC